TCTCTCACCCCCGCCCAACCCCAGCCTGGCATACCTGAGCAATCCTCAGCACCTGGACATTCTCCTTTGATCTCTTGTCAAACATTCCAGCCACCACCTGGTGGGATGTGCTAGAGGAGGCGGGTGGGGTGAGGAAGGGGGACTCGCCTGCTCCCCCCACCCCCACTTGGAGACTTCCCTGGGCCTCACCTGACTTTACAGTGTGCACTGGTGACCACCCAGTCCTTGCTGATCAGGGAGCCCCCACAGAAGTGGAAGCCGGTGCTATACTGGAGGAAGAAGTAGAGTCAGTGCTGGCAGGTCAGAGCCACAACCCGGACAGAGTCCCCACCCTGACCCAAATGCAGGACACCCCATTCGTGCAGACTCCCCTCACCTGCAGAGACACCTGCCAGGGCCAGGAGCCAGGGACAGCAACTTTCCCATTGACGATCCTCTGCATGCCACTCACAACTGGGGGAATGGCCGGGATCCCACAGCCTTAGAGAACGGGGCGGTAGAGAGAGGGTGAGGTCCCAGCCAGTCTGTAGAGACCTCGATTCTAGCTCAGCTTCACAGCACCCACTTCCACACTCCCCTACTCCAGGAGCCATTCCCAGGCACCCCAACCCCAGGTTGTAGGATCCCACAAACGCAGAGTGCTGTCCCCAGTATCCCTCCAGGATGAAGAGGAACAGGCTACTCCAAGCTGCTGTCCTGCCAGCGTGAGCTGAAACACACTGAGGCATCAGGCCTCCCTGCCCCCACCACACCCTGCGGGGACCTCAACCCCTCTCACTCTCCCAGGCTCATTTTCCACATGAAATGGGAGCAAACACTGTCACCTTCACACACAATGGACACGAGGTATGGCATTCAAATCAGAGAACCCCAAACCGATGCCAAGTTACCCCTCTCATCCTTCCCTGACAGAGTGTGATGTCCCCAACCACACCTCTGGATATCTCCTGGGAATTTCAGGAGCTCTTCACTGCTTAACGTTGAAGCTTAATTACGATTTAAACATGACCTTGACACCCTTCCATAAAGATACATCAGATAAACAGAAAAGATAGGATACGATTGTCCAGAATAAGGAGAACACACAGGGTCCTTGATATACCCAGGACACTTGCGGGGTCAGGACACAGGATTCCCAGCAACTCCAGGGGTGTAAGAACTTGACCACAGGAAGATAGGGTGACAGGGAAGGCTCTTGGAGCAGCCAGGCAGCCCCCCAGCATCCCTTAAGTCTTGTTCCAGGAAGAGATATCCCGGCCACTCTCTCAAGCTGGTGGCTCCAAACAGGTCCTCCTCATTTCCAATCTCAAAAACCACCAGCAGCAGCTGTGAGCGGCGCCCCCTGCAGGCGCCTCATAGCAATGCAGGGGGCTGTTCCCTGTGTAGGGAGGGACCTGAGGTCTCACCCAGTAGGGACAGCAGCTGTGACAGGCACAGGGAGGGGCTCCCCCATGGAGCCCGCTGTTCTGGGTGAGCCCCGGGGGGTGAGTGTGTGAGACCTGCACAGAGTGACAGGCAGGGACTCAGTGGGGCCCTTTCCCAGGGAGGGGAGGGAGCAGCAAGGTAACTGAGTCTAGTGGGGGTGTCAGAGAGATCCCTGAAGCAAATAAGAAAAGGTGATGTTTGCATCATCCCAAGAAGGATACTGCTTGTATTATTCTATCCTATCCTATCCTATCCTATCCTATCCTATCCTATCCTATCCTATCCTATCCCATCCTATCCTATCCTATCCTATCCTATCCTATCCCATCCTATCCTATCCTATCCTATCCTATCCCATCCCATCCCATCCCATCCCATCCCATCCCATCCCATCCCATCCTATTCTTTTCTATTCTATCCTATTATTATTATTC